TTTCCTGTCAAAACCCATTTTCAGCTGAAATCTGTGCCCTCAGCTTGGCCTTGCTGCCAAGTTTGATTTGTTGGAGGCATCTGTAAGGCAGATGGGCAAATTGCACATAATGTGATATAAAACTGATTGGAATAGCTGCTCTTTCAAAGAAACTCTGTGCATTGATGTCCACCCATCTCCCTTTTTGCTAAAGAGAGTTGAATGAGACTTTGGGTTGTTCTTTCAGTGAGACTTTGGGTAGCTCTTACAATAAGACTTTGGATAATTCTCACTTACTTTTCCCAAACAGAAGTGGTTTAGGAGCTGGAGACCTGCCCTTATTGTGCTCTTCTGCCATGGCATGTTTCAAACCATTAGAAAATTGTTTTATTTTTTATTTAGCCTTTGAATTCCTTTTTTTTTTCTTTGCTGGTGTTAGAAGTAAAATTGCCTCCTTTTATTTTGTTCCAGAGCTCTGGGAACAGCCAGTGATCCACTCAGCCCAGTTCTCATTATGACTTTGTGCCATCCCACCTGCACCCACTGGATCTGCCAGCCAGCCCTGGTGAGGATGGGACTGCCTGGCTGCTGTAGGATTCCTGAGCATTGGTGCTTTGCCAGGAATGTGCTGTAGCCATCCTGTTGGTGACTCAGAGGTGCCTGGCACTGGGGGAGGATGAAGAGTGCCTTGTTGCAGAGCTGTCACAGCAGTCCATAGTGTCCAACACACCAGGTTTCCTGGGACAAAGCTGGATGCAGGCCCTGGGCATCACCTGCATCCTCATGGTACAAACCAGTGGTGCTGTTTTAATAAATGTGAAAAAGAAATGTTTAATTTTTTTATGAATGAAATCAAACAGTTTTTTTTTTAATATGAAGATGGCACTTTTAGAAGATAAATTTTTTGTATATGGTTGCATTGTTTTGACAAATGTCAATAAACTAGATTCGTTGGATAAACCTGACACGTGTCTTGGGGAAGGGGTTTTACATGTACAGTTGGTCTTAGGGGGACACAGCATCTTTTATCTTAATGAAATGTGAACCTGTCAGACAGAGAAACTGCTAATTTATGGGGAAAGTGGGGTAAAAGAACAATGTAAGTCCTACCAGGCTGAAAGTAAAACTCCTGTAAACTTCAGCCATGCAGCTGAAGGCTGCCCTGGCACAAAGTTTTGATACAAGCCCTATTCCAATCTCTCATAATTTTCATAAAGATTATCAGCTTGAATAAGCACCATTCTCATGTGCTGGTGGGATGTGTTTTGGGGAGATGTGCTCATAGCTGAGCACTTAAATAAGCTTGGAAAATAGGCAAAGGCATTGCATGGATGAGTGGAGGCAGCAGCTGGTGGTGCCTTGGGAAGAGCTCTCCAAGCTGAGAGTGAGGGGAAGGCACAGTGCTCTCGAGTGCACAGCCTCAGAATTCCTCTGAAGGTCTCCTTGGCTCCTGGGCAGGCAGGTGAGGTGAGTTTATTATATTTATTCTATTTATATAAGATGAGCTTATTGTATTTAACCAACCTCTGAAGGAGGGATGTGCAAAGTGACCACAGCTTTGAGCTGTGAACGTGCTGATAGAACCCAGCTTGTGCTTGAACTGTGATCTTCAGGAGTTAAAAACTAAATCAATCCAAGTGGCCTCAGTGAGAGCAACAGCTCTGGGTGATTCAAGGCTCCTAAAATGGGAAGAGGAGCAGCTGCTGATTGTGTGTGCCCCAGGCTCTCCCATCTGCCTGCATTTACAGAGCTGCTGTTGCGAGAGTGCTTGTCCTGACAGATTTGAAAGAGGGGCTGCGTGTTTCGGGCGCTGCTGTGCCAAATTCGTGTCCCTTTGTCTCACTAAGCCTTTGGGCTGGGGCTCTGAATAGCTGCAGAGGTGGTTTTTCATAATGCACTGGCGGGGGGGTGGCTGTGGAAGCCAGTGATCCTCGGCCTCCCCGCTCCCAGGGCCGGAGTGTGGCCCAAGGGAAAACTCCTCTGCTCCAGCCTCAGGTGCTGGGCTGAGAGTTGGGGTTGAATTTGTGACACTTGAAGAGACAACAGAAATCTGGGCATCATTGGATGTGTGAAATCACTCTGTGGGGAGTGGGGAGGTGGCCTCACTTCTTTCTTTCCCTCTAAGTCAGGAGGTATTTGGAGTGGTGTGGTTCCAGCTGAGGGTGTCCCAGGAAAATCTGCAGCCTCTTTGCTGCACAGATGTCTCCACTGAGAGCTTCCAGTGCAGAGCTGGTCTTTGCAATCCTCTGCTGTCTGCTCTGAGCACTTTGTCGTTCCTTAACTGCATCCTTCACTGCACCTGAACATTCCCTGATGAATACCATGTGCCCTCCTTACAAATGGGGTGGGTCTCTAAGAGCCAACAAGGATTCCTTCTTGTTTAACAAGCTTGGAAGGGAGGGAGCAGCCAAATTACCACCTGTCCTTGGCAGGGGACTGCGTGTTTTGAGTGCATTTGGCAGAGTTTTGGTGTTCTGACTCAGCAAATGGTAACAAAGGGAGGATGGCGAAGCCTTCCTTTATTCCATAATCCTGTTTGCTTTTCTGGAAATCGGCTATAGCCTCAGAATCACTGACTCAATTTTTGGATCCTATTCTCATGACAAAGCGGCTGTCTGGTTTAAAACAAGCCCGTTATAAAAAGGGCACCTCGGATCCTGGCTGTTTGTAACAGCTGCTGACGTTCCTCCGGCACAGGGGAGCTTGGCTGGAACGGAAAATGTCCAGAGCTGGAACCAAGGTAAGTTTGTTTGCAGTGCATTCATGATTTTGGCTAAAAGTGCAGAATTTTGCAGGCATGAATTGTGGAGAAACTTTGTTTTTTTTTGTTCTGCTGACAGCTTCCGCTTCTGTCAGTGTGTGGGCAGGGGGAGATGCTTGAAATCCCTCCTCACGTGGAGGGAAGCTGGAGCAGAGCCCTCCCAAGTATTTTCCCAGATTTTGGCTGGTCCCTCTAGGTGTGGCTCTGCCAGAGGATGGAGTCAAGCACAGTGACTGGTGAGAGGCATTTTGAAATGGTTCTAAATCAGCAGGGTCTGATGCCTTTTGAATTGGGGGTGGAGGGGCTGTGCCAGCTGGGAATCACTGCGCTTGCAGAGCAGGATCTCATGGAAAGGTCCCTTGGAGAGAGCCTGACTGCCAGCACCAGCAGAGCTGCCACATCCCTTTTCCATGGTGGAGCAGAAGGTGTGCTGGGACAGAAAGGCTCCATGGATGGCCATGGCACCGAAGGGAATCGTGTTCCCTGAGGGATGATGCACACCGGCCTTGGGATTTGGTGCAGTTGGCAGGGACGAACTGAAATCGGAGAAGGAGGTAGGTTGGGAAGCTCAGCTTCAGCTGGAGAGACATCTCAGGTGGGGATCCAGCACCTCAGGCTTGGGTTTAGCAGAGCTGAGCTGGCTGATCCCACAGAACTAGTACTGAGTCTGGGACTGGGCAGGGAGAAACAGCTGGGAAAGGAAAGGAAAGGGAAAGGAAAAGGGAAAGGAGGGTGGGGACTTGGGCCAGTGTCCTCTATGGAATATCAAACACTGTTAGGAGGCTGCAGGAAGAGCTTCATCTGAGTTTAGCTTTTGGGCTGGATTCCTTTCAGCCTGTGGAGGCTGTGAGACCCAAGGGGCTTTGGAGGCACCGTGGGTTTGGAGGCACTGGGCAGTGCCATGGGCAATCTGGCCCTGGCTTTTCCGTGTCCTTCGGCTCTGTGGCTCTCTGGCTGTTGGGCTGGGAAGCCAAGGAGGGTGTGCTGGTGGCTCCTGGATCCTGGGATGCAAATTTTCTGTACCTAAACCTAAAAAAGGTTCTGGGGAACTGCAACTGCTCCATCCTTGAGTCTCCTATCAGCTTGGAAAGCCTTGAGCACATTCTGCCTTTCCCCAGCTGTGTCCCCCCGGAATGTGCCACTGGGAATTAATGGAATTTGTGCTGCTGGAGGGCAGCAAGATGGCCAGGAGGAGTTATCTCCTAGTTCTGTATGCTGTGCTCTTGTTTAGCACATTCCATGAAAAAGAAAAAGGCAAAATAGGGAATTAAACACCATTTCTCACAGCCCCGGTGAGTGATCTGCCCTGGAAAGGGATCCCTCCTTATAGAGGAGTGGATATTTTTTATGAGTTGGATACTTTTTTATGAGTAAAAAATGGATATTTTTTATGATTTTCCTTCTAGCTAAGCTGCTGTTGAAAAGAAATATGTGATAACTCAGGTGAGGTGACCAAAGTGAGTGTTTTACATTCCTGCAAGGGAGATCTGCTCTGGCAGATGTGGTATGTGCCTGGTAACCCCCAAAAGGCAAGGCTGGACATGGAGAGGTTAACAGGGGAGTGCTGAGAGCAGAGCTCCTGCAGGGTTTGGTTGAAGGAAAGTGATTTCCCTGCAAGTGAGAGGGGACAGAAACAAAGCTGCAAATCTGGAAATGGAATCTGTAATTATTCTATGGGTGAAAACATCAGCCTGAATCCATGCAGGAAAGCTGGGAAGTAAAGGTCTGAAAGGAGCTGAGGGTGTGTCTGAAGGGCTGTACTGGAGAATGGGTGGGGAGGATCCCTTAAATTCTGAAATTAAACCAAGGAGCAGCACTTAGGTTGGACTTAGGAACAGCCAAATCCTTAATGTGTATATATATCCAAGCCTTTGGATTTCTTTGGCTTTGTGGTTTCATAAATACAGGGAAAATTCCCCCCTGGAAACATCAGGCTCCAGTTCGATTGTGTTAGGCTGGGTGGGGAAGGAACATCACTGAATCCCACAACTGTTTGAGTTGGAAAGGACTTTAAAGCCCATCCAGTCCCACCCCCCTCCATGGGCAGGGACACCTTCCACTATCTCAGGTTGCTGCAAGCCCCATCCAGCCTGGCCTTGGACACTGCCAGGTTCCCTCTGCCCAGAAAGCAGATCCACACTGGGCAGAGTTCATAATCAACCATGTTGGACAGGAGTTGGGACAGGATCAGAGCTTGGGGACAGATATTGGACAGAGGGATCAGCCATCCCAGCAGAGGATAATGCTGAACTGGGAATAAATGAATCCCTGCAGAGGCTTTTCCAGGGGTGCTGTGGCTTCCTTGACCAGTGCCTTCAAGAAGAGGGTGACTGGTGATGCATGACTGCCAATTCCAGTGAGCAGAGCTTTCGGTGTTGCCTTTGGGTCAGGCTGGCAGATTTTTTGGGTGATACCTTTAGGGACAATGATCCAGAAGTAGGATGTGGAAAAGGCAGTGGGCTGTGGCCAGGAAGACCAGGCCAGTGTGGTTAACTGCCCAAGAGTGGGAAAACAAGAGCTGGGCATTTCATTGCTCTCCTTTCACAGCCCTTATTCACTGCTGGAAAGGTCAGAGTGATCCCAGCTCTCCACTGAAGGTGGGAAGAGCTTGCTCAGGATGTTAGGGGACGGGTTGTTTTGTATGCACCAACTGCTTTGTGATGGCAAATCAATCCTTGAAATTAAAAGGAAAATAGCATTATCCTAATAAATGTTCAGTAACAGGCCACAAAATCAAGAGCATGAATCCTCTGGCATGATCAGTCTGACTCCCCAGATCCCTTGGTCAGGCTGGTGGGGCACACTGACCAACCAGCTCCAGGAAAACTCTGGCTAATTTAACTTTTAGCACAAAACAAATGATTAAAAATAAAAAGTGAGAGAGCTGTCCTGCATTTGGGTTGAAACACTGACAATGAGTGATTTTTGAAGAGCAGGGAGGTTACATCGATACCAGTGGCCAAAGCACTGTAGGTGAAGTACTGCAGGTGGGGGGGGGGTGTCTTAATAATCAAACTATGGAAAAAAACATGGGAAAATGGATTGGGTGTGGCTAGAAAGATTCTCTCTAGACCATCTGGCGTTGTGAGCAAGCAAGGGATGTAGTCAAGATAGATGTGATGGTTTGGAAATCCTCTTGGAGAAGAGCAACGTTTGATGAGTAATTGTCACCTGGAAGGATCTAAAATGGGGCTGGAGAAAGGACTGGTCTGGTCTAGGGCTTGCAATATTTTAATGAAGGGATTTTTGAGGAAAACTGAGTTTCCTCTCCAGGCTGTCTGGGTGGGTGATGCCTTGGGTGGGAGGAATGGGATTTGCTCATCAGTTCCAAAGATCTTTCAAGCCAGGTTGTGTTCAAGGATAAAGTGCTTTGGGATCAGCAGCCTGGCTATAGAGCAGCTCTTGGGCAAGAAATGTGGGGATGGATTGTGAATTTGCCAGAGGTTTCATGGACTTGCAGCAACCAAAGCAGAATGAGCCAACTGCAAGTACAATCCTTGAATATCCATAAAACTGCTCCCCACCATGAACATGGAATGCACCCTTAGTTTTTCCTGGCAAGGGCAAAGCTTGTGTGATGTCCAGCTTTGCGCAGTGAGTTTTGAGAAAGGAAGTTTTGGGTTGTTCAAGTGGGAACAAGGATGGGCTAGAAGACATGATCTGGGAGGAAAGAGACTTCTCCACTCCCTTCAGATCAGTAAAGATCTTGCTGCAAACCCTTGGAAGGTCAGTATAAAGGAAATAATGGAATTGTTAAGGCTGGAAAAGCCCTCTAAAGGCATCAAGTCCAAATGCTAACCCAGTGCTGCCAGACCCACCCATGTCCCCAGAAACCGACTTTGTAAATTCCATTCACTTCTCACAGCTCTCCAGCCATAATTTAGTAACTCCTGATCTAGAGAAGGTGGGAGGGAATTGCTTTGATGGTGTTTTGCTGGAAAAAAGGACAGGGACTTCTCTGTGGGAGTGTTGCGTTGGACTGGGACAGAACAAAGGTCTGGGAAGGGCAGAACATTGGTGGCAGCTGGAGGCATTGGGGCCAGACAGGTGAATTAGTCTGACTGACTGCAGTTGGTCCCGTTCCATGGCTGGGCTTGATGATTTCTGATAGCTCCAATGTTGTATTTGTGGGGTGCCCCGATGAAGGGAGGAATGATGAATCTGACTCCATGTTCTCAGAAGATTAATTTATTATTTTATGATACTATAGTATATTGAAGAATACTAAACTAAACTATACTAAAGAATACAGAAAGGATACTTAGAATGCTAAAAAGATAATAATGAAAACTCGGCACTCTTCCCAGAGTCTCAACACAGCTTGGCCCTGATTGGCCAAAGAGTGAAAACAACTCACACGAGAATCCAATGAAACAATCACCTGTGGGTAAACAATCTCCAAACACATTCCAGATAAGCAAAACACAGGAGAATCAAATGAGATAAGAATTGTTTTCCTTTTTCTCTGAAGCTTCTCAGCTTCCCAGGAGAAAAATCCTGGGTGATTTTTCAGAGAATGTGAACGCCACACTCGAGGGCTCTGCTTTCAGATATTTCCTGCCGTGATGTGGCTGGAATATGGAGAAATTCTGGATGAGGAACCTCCCTTCTCTGCCCCCTCTGCTCGTTTCAGGTCACCTTCTATGAAGACAAGAACTTCCTGGGCCGTTACTACGAGTGCGACAGCGACTGCCCTGATTTCCACAACTACCTGAGCCGCTGCAACTCCATCCGCGTGGATGGAGGCACCTGGGTGGCCTACGAGAGGCCCAACTATGCTGGGAACATGTACGTGCTGACCCACGGGGAGTACCCTGACTACCACCACTGGATGGGCCTCAACGACCGCCTGGGCTCCTGCAAGTACATCCAGATCGTAGGTGTCACCCCTTGCCAGGGGATGCTGCCATTTATCCCATCCTGGGAGGGTTTCATGTAGGGGAACGTGGTGTCCTGGGGAGCCACAGAGAGGGGGCTGCAGGGGTTTGGTCCCACAGTCCTGCTCTGGGAGTAGCAAGGTGTTTGGTGTGGGGAGAAGGTGGAGGTTTCCCAGTCTGGATTGCAGTGGGAAAAGGCAGATCTGTGGTGGTGTTCACAGGGGTCCCAGGATGAGGGAAGAGATGAGAATCTTGGCTCCATGTTCCAGAAGGCTGATTTATTATTTTATGATATATATTATATTAAAACTATACTAAAAGAATAGAAGAAAGGATTTCATCAGAAGGCTTGAAAGGAAAAAAAAGGAGTGATAATAAAATCTTGTGACTGACCAGAGTCCAAGACAGCTGGACTGTGATTGGCCATTAATTACAAACAACCACATGAGACCAACTAAAGATGCACCTGTTGCATTCCACAGCAGCAGATAATCATTGTTTACATTTTGTTTCTGTGGCCTCTCAGCTTCTCAGGAGAAAAAAATCCTAAGGAAATGATTTTTCATAAAATATGTCCATGACACAGATCCCTTTGAGTGTGAGTGAGTTTCCATAGGTAGTTTCATCAGCATGTTCCTTTAGGGATTTCTGTGTCCAGGCAGGCTGCTCCAGAGTTTGCCTCTCATTTTTCCCTGATGTGTAACCAACTGATCCAACAGCTCAAGGCCTGTAACAGTGGAATATAGGTTTTGCAGGAATATTTAGAATGAGGGGAAGTTTCCTCTCCAGCAACCCAGGACTCCCTTCTGATACAACGAGCTGAATCTGTGTCACCAAACCCTTCTGGGTGTGGAGAGCCAAGCCCAGTATCAGTCCTGGAGTGCCCAGGAACAGGAGGGATGCCTGGAGCCCTCCTTGGCCATGCTGGGAGCAGCCTGGTGCCTCCTGGTGTGAGGAGAGCACAGGAGGTGTGCTCATCCCCTCCTAACTGATGGTGGGAGAAAGGAACAGAGCAAAGGATCCTTTTGGGAAGCCTATTGGGAGGAGCATCTTTTAAGATTGGGATTGTGGATGAAGTGTGGGTTGGTGCTGCTGCTGCTGAGGTTTTCCAGTAGTGGGGCAGATTCTGCTGATCCACGGGTTGATTAATTGGAGCATGGCTGTGAATTCCCACTGCATGGAGCAGATCTCACCACTGAGAACAGATTCTGCTTTTCTGCCTGGGAGTCTAACGCCCCTCTGAGCCTGTTCTGGCTTTAAGCTGGGTCTAAATCCCTTTGCATGGGGCAAGGAGAGTTTCCAGCCCGCTCAGAGCACTGATCTGGCTTAAGACATGGAGCCAAAACACGTGCGAGACACAAGAGCAGCACAGCTTCCTCCACCAGGATGAAACGTGGGAGCCTCATCCTGCACATCCACCTGGTCCTGGCTTTCCCCTGCCCTGGGGAGACCCCGCAGAGCTCGGCTGGGGCTGGCAAGGAGGGAGCAGGCTGGGGAAGGTGTCCGGGCAGCTGCAGATCAGGCAAGGAGCGCTTCCAGTCCCGGTGGGACCCAGCGCTGCCTCCGCAGCAAAACACGGCCCCGCCGGGCTCAGCAGCTCATTGCACTCCTCTCCCCCTGGAGGAGACGGGACTGGAGCGGGGCTGCCTCTCTGATGCTCACAAGGAGCACTGAGGGACTCAAGGCTGCCTGGGATAGCAAGACCGGCACTGCTGACTCGAGCTTATCACTGTTCTGCGTGTGATGCTCTGTTAGAATTTACCCCAGCTGCTTCTCCCTGTGCTTTTGGAGATTTCAGCCCTGTCCTGGTGTGCTGGGGGTGGCTGGTACCTGATTTGAGTCCGGCTGTGCCCAAACTCTGCCCCCATGTCAGAGCTGGGACATGTCAGTGCCTCCATCCAATGCTCTGGTTGCCAATGAAGTCACCCAGAGAAGCTGTGGCTGCCCCACCCCTGGAAGTGTCCAAGGCCAGCTTGGAGGGGGCTTGGAAGAACCTGGGATAGTGGGAGGTAGAACTGGATCATCTTCAAATCCCTTCCAACCCAAAACTTTCCATGACCCTATGATTTTCTCTCCCCACACTTTTTTTTTTTCTTTTTTTTTCTAGCCAAGTGGAGGCCGAGGCCACATCCAGGTGTTTGAGAAGGGAGATTTTGGCGGGCAGATGTTCGAAGCCACCGAAGACTGCCCCTCCATCATGGAGGAGTGGCACATGCGTGAGGTGCACGCCTGCAGGGTGCTGGAGGGCGTCTGGGTGTTCTACGAGCATCCCAACTACCGGGGCCGGCAGTACGTGCTGCCCAAGGGGGAGTACCGCAAGCCCGTGGAGTGGGGCGCGGCCAGCCCCGCCGTCCAGTCCTTCCGCAGCATCTCCGAGTGAGCCGGCCCCGGGCAGGGCTGCCACACCCCCCCAATAAAGCAACTGAGTCGCTCAGCTCCGCCTTGTCCTGCTTATTCCCGGGATTTGCGTGCGACATGTCCTGCCTCCGGGGAGCTGGGGTGGAGCAGAGCCTTCTCTGCCTGATTGTCACCCCCTTCCCCATCCCCTGCCCCTCTGATCCCGGGGGAGCTGGGGTGGAGCAGAGCCTTCTGTGCTTCATTGTCACCCCCTTCCCCATCCCCTGCCCCTCTGATCCCGGGGGAGCTGGAGCAAAGCCTTCTCTGCCTGATTGTCACCCCTTCCCCATCCCCTGCCCCTCTGATCCTGGGGCAGCTGGAGCAGAGCCTTCTCTGCCTGATTGTCACCCCCTTCCCCATCCTCTGTCCTTCTGATCCCAGGAGAGCTGGGGTGGAGCAGAGCCTGCTCTGCCTGATTGTCACCCCCTTCCCCATCCCCTGCCCTTCTGATCCCGGGGAAGCTGGAGCAAAGCCTTCTCTGCCTGATTGTCACCCCCTTCCCCATCCCCTGCCCCTCTGATCCTGGGGGAGCTGGGGTGGAGCAGAGCCTTCTGTGCTTCATTGTCACCCCCTTCCCCATCCCCTGCCCCTCTGATCCTTTAGGAAAAAGCCACCCCCAAGCTGGAGTTTGTGCTCCAGCGTTTGGCCATCCCTATGGAGCAGTGGCACCACACATCTCTGGGTTCCAGTTTTCGGTGATGGCTGTGGGTGCCTCGGTCTGTCATGTCCCTATGGAGTCCCTGCCTGCTCTGTTGCTGCTCCATGGTGGTTTGGGAGAAGAGATGAGGTTTTTGTCACTGCCATGTGTCCTCCTGGACACCCTGAGCAGGCAGCTGCTGTCCTGGTACTGGATGAGTTCTGTCCTCCCGGGACTGGGAAAAAATGGAGATCCCAGATGGAGCAGGAAGGGGACAGCCATAACCTCCTTGGGGAATGCTGGGGACACTGGCAGCCCAGTGTGTCAGGTACAGGATGTCCCCTGGAGGTGTGGGCCAAGAGATTCAGCTGCTTAAACTGGGGCTGGGCACCGCATGGAGCTGGGAGCTGGAAGCGGGCTGGGTGTGGGATAGAGGCAGTGAGTGCCTCTGGGAGGTGGCTGCTGAAGGGCAGAAGAGCTCCCTGGACACCTGAGATGTGCAGGGAGTAGAGGGGGCTCCCAGTTATCCCAGTTAGCCACCAGGACCATCCCACTTTGCCTGGTGCTACCAGAGGAGAGGGAGGTCCCAGGCACAGCCTCCTGGGCAGGAATAGCTGAGGGCTGGGCACTCTTCCCCTGGGAACCCTGGGAGCTGCAGCCTGTTTGCACATGGAGCTAAGGGGCTTTGGGATAATGAGGCTGGAGGTGGAAGCAGAGCCCTCCCAGCCATGCTCTGCAGTCTCTTCCCCTTGATGTGTGAGGTTATTATGGAGCGGGGAGCCAGGGGAAGGGATGCTCATCAAGCCACAGGGCTGCCACCTCCTGGGAAAGCTGCTGCCGGTGGGGAATGGGAAGGAGCCACCATGTCCAGCCCCCCTAGACTTCCCCCAGGACAAAAATCAGCTGAAGAGTTGCCTTCCCCTTCTTCCTCTCCCTGCTGTCACCCCCTCCCTCAGAGCACTGCCCCAGTCCAGCCTTTCCCTGCAAACAGTGATGCATCTTCACCTGCTTCCATCCCTCCTCACCTTCATGGATCAGCAGAATGCAGATGAGCCAACAACACAGTTGGGTTTTGCTGTATTTTTCCCCATGTTATTTCTCCAGGACTAGCCCTCAGCTCCAGCTCCCCTTTTCCCCCTGGCAAAGCTCTCCAAGGGCAGCAGTTTGAGCACAGCCTGGCTCCTGTTTTCTTTTTGACAGCGAGCCTGTTGCTGTCCCTGTTGTGATGGAAAATCTGTAGGTAGGAGCCCCACCCAGTGCATTTCTAGCCAACTCCCACCCTGATTTTGGGGACTGTGCCCCTGTCCCCATCCCACATGCCCTGCACTGAATGGGTTTGGGATACTCCAGCTCTGTGGTCGCTGGTGTGCATCCACCCTACAGCACTGGAGGAGCCAGAGCCGGATCTGTTTGCCCTTAAGGTAACATTTTCCCATGTCCTACCCTTTCACTGCTGATGCCCCCACTTTTAAAACCCAATTATCCCAAGTCTTCCCTCCTTCTCCTCCAGGCTTGTTGCAGTGTTGTGGGTCCCCAGGATGAGGTGAGAGATGAGAACTGGACTCCAAATTCTCAGAAGGCTGATTTATTATTTTATGATATTATATTAAAAGAAATAATAGACTAAAACTATACTAAAGAAAGAGAGACATCAGAAGGCTAGACAAGAATGAATAATAACTTGTGACTGACCAGAGTCCTGACACAGCTGGACTAGGATTGGTCATTAAGTTAAAACAATTCACATGCTGGGAAAACAATTCTCCAAATCACATTCCAGAGGAGCAAAACATGGAGAAGCTGAGGCTTCTCACCTTGCCAGGAGAAGAAATCCTGGTGAAGGAATTTTTCATAAAATATCACAGTGACACAGGCTCTTGCCCTTGGGTGAACATTGTGTCCTCAACATTTCCAACCAACACAAATAACAATAAACTGCTACTTGGGTGTTTTTTTTTAACCATTAGTTTTTATTTTATTGTTATTCTAGATGACTTTTTCCATTTTTCCCCTGCCACAGCAGAGCAGGGTGCCTGTGGAGATGAGCGGGGAGCGCAGCAATGTGAGCCCAGCCGTGCTGATGCCGGGTTTTCCTTGACAGCTAATTTCCATTCCCCACTATCAGGGGGTCTGCTCCAGTAATTGGCATGCAGATTGTGTCCGGTGGGCCTGTTAGACACGAGCAAAGGCTCTGCTGCTTGGAAAAAGCCAACCCCAGGCTGATGGATGGGGTGTAAGGAGGTCATGGGGAGAGAGAATTTCCAGATGCCCGCGTGCACACACCTATGAAATTTCCCATTCCATGCTCTCCCCCCCATCCCTACTTTCTTTATCCAGCAAACTCTAATCTATCATATTTCATTGAGACAAATCCTGCTCCATTTCTCTGTCTCTCCCTTTTTCCCTCTAAGGGAAACGTGATGGAACCTGCTCCTGGATTTAATGAGAAGATGGTGCAACGTAGCAGGAATTAAAGCGGTGCCATGCTTCATTAGCAGCTGGGGATCACATGGAGCAAGCCCAGATGTTAATTACACTTTGGGAATTAATTGGTATAAGGCATTCCTCTCCTCCATCATCCCTAATCCGGTGGGTGTGCGAGGACTTCTGGAAGCAGAGACCTCCAGGCAGGTGTCTGTCTGTCCCCCCACTCAGCTTGCCTGACACCAGCTGGTTTGGAGATTTTGAAGTCACCTTCATTTCCATCCCCTTGGTGCCCAAGGACCTACTGTAATTTTTCCCTCTTTTCCTTCCCGTGCCACTCTCATCCAAAATTTTTCTCCAGCTGCTGGGGAAAGGGAAAGCAGGTCTGGATGGGATGGGGCAATGGTGGGAGGTGGCACTGTGTTGAAGGAGGAAAGAACATCCCCCTCAGAGCTGGTCATCCTCAGTGGATTCCAGGACATCCTGGTCCTTTCTCCTGCTCCTTGACCTGTCCTTGCTGGCCCATCCCTTCCCTCCAGCTCTGGAGGCAGACAGGGGAGCCTCTATCTGCCCCCACAACCCCTCTGCTGCTGAAATCTCCCCAGCTCTCCAAGGCCAATGGTCTCCAGTTTCTTCCCTTTTCCATCTTGGGTTCAGCCTGACAAAATGCAAAAGCTGGGGGGGGGGGTCGGTATTATTTAGCCAGAGGACAGAAATTATATGCTTGGAAATGAAGAATGCCGTTGCAAGCAGACACAGCCACAATACACAGAGCATCACCACACAGTTTCAGAAAGCTTCAACCCAAACAGAGTTAACACCTTACCTCATCAGAAGGCTGCAAGGCTCTGCCCTCCTTGCTCTTGAGCCCAGCCTTTTATCCCCTGCTGTTGATGCACTGCACCTGTGTGCCCTCTGCTCCCTTTGGTGGTTGGTCAGTGCCCCTGGGCACTCCATGGCTCATTGCTGTCAGTGCTGCTCACCTGCTGCTCACAGCTGTGCCCATTGAGGCTCAGCCCCACTCCCAATCACCACAAACTGTGTGCCTACAGAATATTCCTCTAAATGCTGCCAATTTGTTCCTTTCCTGAGCTGGCTGGTGGTGGCCCAGCGTGGGGCATGGATGTCACTGAGATGGAGCAGCACAGCTCTGGTATCTGGCCTGGAATTTACTGCACAGCCCCAGTGGGACTCTCAAACTCAGCTCTGCTCCCCCCAAACTGCTCCCAGGCCCTGATGGTGGGACACAGCCACCACAACCAGCCCAGGCTCCCATTTTCTCTCCTCTTACCAAGGTTCTCAGGGCTTTGTGGGTCTTCCCTTGGTGTTGCTGATGCTCCTTGGTCTCAAGGTGTCAGCCCCTTGATGCATCTTTGTTCTGCCAGCAGAGATCACTCCTGGAAGAGAACCACTGTCCCTTCTCTTCCATCCCTGGGAGGGCTCAAAAAGTATGTGGATGTGGCACAGAGATGTGGCAAAACAGAGCAATTCAAGGCCACTTTGGTAGGAGTTAAAGAAAAACAATGTTTTCAAACCTGCAAAATTAATGGTTTTGGTGTTGGATGGAGAAAGAAGAGGAGATGTTTAATCCTTTTGTTTAAACTTTCTTGATTTTTGGTTTAGGGTTGGGCATGGCAGTGCTGGGGAAACAATTGGTGCTTTTTGGGGACTTTTCCAACTTAAGCAATTCTATAATTCTGTGATTTCACAATTCTATGATTCCATGATTCTGTGGTCTATGATTCTATGCTTCCATGATTCTGTGACTCAGGGCAGCACTTCATTGCCACCCGGTTCCCTTGGAGCCCTGCCACTTCAGATCCTGCATTTCCCACCATCTGCTCACTGAACCCCAAGTCCCTAAATCAGGGATTCAGCCTCCACCTCAGCCCCTGCCTGGGCAGTCTGAAGATGACTGCAGC